TACTACTAGTACTTATTCTATAAATTAAAACAATAATTAAACAATGAATAACATCTACACTGAGATGGGATGAATCAAAATATTACACGTTTTCCCGGCCTACATGGCAATCGAAGCTCGTATCATCCAACTATTATATTCAACTGTAATAGGCTATACAAAAATAAAATCCTAACTTTTCTCACTGTCAACAACAACAGCGACTGGAAGCAACCTTGCACCATTAAAATATAAAACAGGGAGACCGGATGATATTATGTTGGAATACACCATGGCCGATTTGCTCGCATTTAAATATAAATACTCTTTCCTTTGGGCTTTCAATGTCTCGACTTTGTCCACTGGTTCGACCCCTTGACCTTCGCAAATTAGTCCTTAAAACCCGGATGTGAAGTGGAGGTAAATCGCAATATGCCTAAGCGCGTGTTCGTAAGGCTGCATGAGCATATATTACGGCATTCTCGCAATAAAACGACGCTGCAATAAACATGTTGCGTAGCAAGGAGGCATTCATAAACATTGATGACAGCGCAGTGATATGAACTGCTCTGAGAATTTAATATTAATTGTATTTGCTGTTCTTTTATATTGCTTGCCCATATTGCGAGCGAGTTCATGAATTCAATTAGCCATACGCTATTCGCAACCGAGTTAGATGGTTATAGTACTGGCTACTAAAGAATAATGCCACCATTCATTTTTTTGCTTCATAAAACGGGATGAAAATTGAATCAGTAAGCAGCGTTTGCAAGAGAAAAAGAAAAGAAAAATGAAGAGCTATAAAGGGAGGGTGGGAGAGAGAGAGAGAGAGAGAGAAAAAAAAAGGGGGGGGGGGGGGTGAGAAGTGAAACATTAAAAGAGTTATGACATAATGTATCAAATGAATGATATTGTTATTCCAATCAGAGTATGACTTCTCACACACGATTTTGTTTCGTTTTGTGAAGCCATAATATCCTTAATTTCATGCTTTTGAAAAAAAAAATGATTTAAAGTACTGGCGTATTATATTCTTTTATCTGGACTTGGTTATTTAAATATCGTAAGAGAAGTATACGAGAGTGCAAGAAAAAGTAGTACTTACATATTGCAGGTCAGCATTATAGTACAGAATTATTGTTGTAGTATTATTTAAAAAAAGAAGATCGATCTTCATGGTCTTCCTGTAATATCATATTGGGTGTACTGTTTTTTTTTTCTTCAGTCGTCAAAGATAACCAATTAGTTATTATAAAACATATCTGGCTGTAGTATGTCCAAATGAACCCGATGAGGAAGACGGCATTGATGCTTGGCTCGTGGATGAAAAGTTCGACAGCGTCGCGTCGGTCGTTGCAGAAGCGGCAGCGGCAGCAGCAGCGGCGGCTTGCTGACTGTTATAGAAGTCAGTGATTGATGTGGTGTAGTCAAAGTGACCGGTCATAAGTGGGCTGATCAAACCTTCTGTGACGGGGATAACTCCATTGGATGAGTTGTAAGATTGGGTGCGGTCGTACAAACTGTAGCCTTCGAGATGTCCACTATGTCCTGGTGCTCTGAAGTGTTCCAGAGCTGGACCGAGATGGGACTGGTCGTTGGTACGGTAGGTCAAGGTACGCTGTCCAGATTGTGGGTCGGTGTAAACCTGGAGCTCATTCTTCAGCGTTGAGATGGGCTTCTCTTCTTTACCGAGGTACAGCGAGACGAGTTGGTCAAGGAAGTTGCCATCTTGTTCGTTGGTCCCAGAGGGCGCTGTAGTGACTTGCCCATTGATTGAAACACTGTGGGGTGCATGTGTACTGAGAGTTGTTAGAACAGGTTGATGATATGAAGGTGATTCATAAGAACTATGGCTACCGACACTACTGGCGGGACTAGCGACTGCTGAATTACCATCAACGCTCGAGTGTTGTTGCGACATGTCAGGAGAAGCGCTGGAACACATGCGCTCCTCTTTCAAAGACCCATCTTCAGGCTTCCTGGAGGTTCCTGCAACATCACAATCACGCAGGGGAACCGCTGGGGAGAGGGACTGGTAGACGGGTGTCTTTGGGCGTCCTGCGAGTCCTTCATCACCTAGGGCAGCAGGGATGTCGAAAATGTCTGAGAAATTTGAGAGATCAATGTTGATGGAAGGTGTATGTTCAGCAAGCTTGATGGTTGAGGTCTCGCCGATGATTGAAGATTCGTTGCTCAGACGAGGGTGCTTAGTCTCCTGCAGAGAGTGAAGATCAGGCGGTGCAGGTCGCTTTAACGGGGATATAACCGTCTGCTTCACCGGCGTAAGGATGGTATGACCCTGCTGAGGGCTTGTCAACTCTGTCGTGCCGTAGACAGTATTCACCACATGGTTCATCTCCAACCCATTCGACTGGTTGCTCACTAAGAAATTCGACGAGTCTACAGGGTAGTTATGGTATGTCGGCACTCCAGCGATGTCCATTCCATCGTGTCCTTTCGGCACACCCGATGACGTAGCCGCCGCCGCGATGACTGCGCTGCCACCATACCCGTAATCGTAGGTCGTACCGTCAGCGGAATGGAGAGGAGGATTGTACGGGTAGCCAGGCGTCTGATGCTGATAACCCGACGTGGTCGATGAATGTTGTCCGTCCACTGGTCTGTAGCTCTGGAAAGCTGTGTTATAATCGTCCTGTGAGGCGTTGAAGTGAGTCCAGCCGTCCATCTGGGGTTGGGTCGGGTAGTAGTTTGCATAAGATTGTCGACTGCTGTATGCAGTTTGATAGGTACCTGTGATTATAAAGATAATGAGATGATAAGGATTTAGCATTTGAATAATTGGAGAAAAACAACCCTTATGATGCAATAATAAGTTATTTTGGACAAAATATATAAATTCAATGTAAATATTTAGTTAAAACTGTTAATCTAGATGTAGTATGCACAAAATTGCCATTATTCTCGCTTCCTTTTTGTCTTACCTAACCAATTTTCCATGTAATTTTGGTAAACTGTTAACACTATACAAATTCTACCATGTTTACAAATATTTAATCACAATTAGGTCCATAATGTCGTGATAGTTTGCACTAATTTCGCTTTATTCCCTTGGTCATCTTGATAACAACATTATTTATTCTACAAATGTAATTCAACTTAAAATTGTGAACGGTTGAAACTGCATGCGCCATTGGAAGGAATTATAAATATACTATAAATAAACAAAGAAAAAAAACACGAACTATCCCCTCTTCTGGTTTTTAGGAAAGCAATCACAATTATTGTTCGACGGTCTTCTCCGAGGGACTTAATAATAAGGATTAATGCATTATCAAATGGTACTAGCGTCTCGACTTGGTTTCGAACCCAGGACCTCAGGGTTACAACACAACTGTTCTACCACTGAGCCATCGTGCATCTTTATAAACAAAATTCTTCTTCAAATGAGCATCTTCTTCAAACGTTTTCTTACCTTGACCGGCAGCGAACGGGTGGTCATCCATGTCAGTCTGTCGCTGTCCTCCATTGCTGTACAATGAACGGATATGTGAGCGGAGAGAGTAGTGTTCTTTGGGTACTTCTGATGTTGGTTGTGATACATCCGAATTCTGGACTTCACGGAGCTGGCGAGCCACGCGGTCAACTCGGTTGAAGGATTTGTGAATGTGCGTACCCTGTTAAAAATAATTAAAGAATATAAATACACCAATCAAAGTTTGCTTCCTTTATATTTGGAGAACGTCTTTCGAGAAAACAATTTAAAAGAAGGTGATAAAGTAGTCTTACCAATTATGCATATCATCCTAAAATGTTTGAGCCTATAATTGCTTGAAATAAAGTAGACACTCTCACACGTAGCTGCATGTAATATTCCGTAGAATTAGTGTGTGACTTGGTGTTAGGGTGTTTACTTTATTCCAAGCAATACTGTAGGAATGACAAAAGTATTTAATTTTGGAAGAGTTGAATAAACATTACATTTCTTAAGAAAGTAAAATATATTATAGGATAAAGTAGTACATACCACTTTCTTGCATATCTCCTTAGGCCTCTCGTGTCTGTGTGTACGATGGTACTCTAGTAGAGCTAGCTTGGCTTGTGATGTAGTCTTGACTACGTCCGGGCGAGGATGATCATGGACTCCCTTCGATTGGAATAGGATCACGGTATCTACAAACAAAGATAGGGACAACGATAATGAGGATGGTGCTAAATGTAACGGTGATAACAACAACATTGATAATACTGATGATGATGCTGATGATGACGATAACAATGATAATAATAATAATATTAGGCCTACAAGGTAGAAGAAGAAGAAGAAGAAGAAGAAGAAGAAGAAGAAGAAGAAGAAGAAGAAGAAGAAAAAGAAAAATAAGAAGAAAAAGAAGAAGAATATGAAGAATAAAAAGTAGAAGAAGAAGAAAAGTAACAAGAACAGAACAGCTACTGTCATACAACTATAATGTTTTGAAGGTAGAGACGAAATTCGTTTTCAATCTTCCTTGAAAATATAGCTTTTTATAGAAGTGTAAACATGGTTAATGTTGGGAAGTGCTTTCTCTATTTTTTCATGAGACTTAAACATTACAAATCCCAAAGCTTCTGTAAGTATTCTTAGAGGTTCTTACAAAATAAGCAGCTATGACGACCATGTTGACGACATAAATAATTATTTTGTTGCTTTTGAATAGTTGCTTTACATCCTGAGCAGTGAATAGTGGCTAGGGATAACATATGAGACATTAACATTATCTAACAATGAAACTTTGAGGGAAGAAAAAAAATGCTAAAAATATTCACTTACCAGTTACTCGCCAGAAGTGCGTGACAGGGTAGCCTGATTTGCCAGCGCAGATCATATGAAAGAGTTTGCCATCGCAACCGGTCCTTGGGCATTTCTTATCGCCTTGCTTCTTCCGAGCACGATCCGAAGTGGCTGGCCGAACAGTCACGATTTCTCCCGAACTTGTTCGGCATCCTTTCGAGCACAGGAACACTCCTGAAATTCGACACAAAAATAATAATTATTATTACTTAATTTTGATATAGAGAAATGTTAATTAAGTAAATAATTGACGAAGTAAGAAACTAATTAAGTAAGAAACTATGAGTAAGTAAGTAACAAAGTAAGTTAGTAATCAATAATGTAAGAAAGACAGTTTTGAATAATTAGTTTATACATGCACAAATGGATTGTTGTTGTATTATTATCATTTATTATTGTAATTGGATATTCATTATGACAATGTTTGGGAAAGGGAAACATACTGATGTTTCCAAATTATTGTCAATTTCCTTATTTAAAACTTCTTCGCTACAAGAATGAAGGGGGAAAAAAATTCATATAGCAACAACCGTCTTTGAGACAGTCCAAATTGGATTGTCTCCATTCCTTCTCAATTCGGCTTCTTGGTATCTTGTTCGATCCAAAATAAACGTGTGAAAATAATATCAAAAAAGTCTTCAAAGAAGACCGTATCCTGTTCATATACCTTAAATGCCTTAACACATCACAATACCAACTATAAAAAACAACAGTTTTCAAAGAGTAGAGGAGAGTTCCGACGTTGAGATTCGCACGGTATTGAATCGTAGAAAACGTTTGACTTGCAGCGCTATTGTCAACCTGTATAGGTTTAGGCCTATATCATAGAGCCAATTATCTACCTTCGCCTTTTGATTAGTAGCGCACCTATTGTAGGTGTTGGTCAGTTCGGCTTTCATTTGAAGTATTGTCTATAACGGATGTTCCGAGAAAGAATAGGACCAGAACTTCGTTCTCAGGCCTCCGTGGGAATGTTCTTCGTAAGAAACCATTCTTATTTTAGGCCAATTCATCATCAAGGTACTGTATTACATTACCCCTTTGGTATCCAAGAAGTACTTTCAGATATGTTTTTGACACATTTCTCAATTTTCATTGACTTGAGATTTCAAATACGTTACCACATTGATAATTATTGCAACCGTTTCTATCGCTTACAGTTTTACAAATCATAATTCATTACAAGTAAAATTTGGATGGAAAACAGATACATTTATGACTAGTGGGGGTGGGTTAAAAAGAAGAAGAATACAAAAAAAAAAAAACTGTTTTTATTTCCGTCTCAAGGACACCATAATGACAAGGTAATCTTCTATTGTATTAATTCGTTTGCAGACGAGCTTACATCAAGACCCTTCCCAAGAATTTGGCCATAAAAATTGATTTAAAAACAGACTATTTCCGCCTCTGGGGTTGTCTTGCTTCTTGGAAAGGCTTTTTATCCAGCTGAATTTCGAGGTATTATTTTCTTCTAAAAAGATGTAACTTTTCTAGCTAGACATTTGTTTATTGTCTCAAACTTATCCCAATCATTTCTAATTAACTACCATAGGCTATTTTAAGACGATCAACTATTACCAGGAAATGGTTCAAAGGTGACTGTAATGTGTTTGGCATACTATGAACGTTAGGCAAGAATAACATTCGTTTCACAACCTTATTGGTACTCCCCCCCCCCAAAAAAAAAAAAGGGGGAAAAAATCAATCAATCAAATCGTCGAATCAAATAAAATCAAAGTATTTAGCCAAGCCAAACCAAACCAATCGAATCGAGACAAATCAAATTAAATCGAATCAAATCAAATGCAATTGAGACTTACCGAGACACGATTTCTTGAGGACTTTCTTGTTGTGATTATTAGTGTTTCTCATGGCCCAGCCGCTAAGATGTTTGCGTGCATCAATGTCCTTTGGCAGGTATCTCATTGTTACGTCACCATCTATCCACTCGTTGAAGTCATCGTACTATATTTAAAAAAGCGCAAATAATATGATGAATATTGTGGGTAATACTTGTATATTAACTTCAACTTTCAAGTATGTTTTAAAAAAAAAAACATTAAAAAAAAATGAACACATTATTTTCTCTCGAGCCGTCTCTTATTTCAAAACCTCAACAAAAAAGTGCATTGCCCTTCAACTGTCCAATATTCGTTTTCAAGCAGCGAATCCTATTTAACCAGAAAATTATGCTTCACTATTTAAAAAATGTAACACGTCACACCTTTCTTAAAATTCTTTTAAAAAGACACCCATGTTGAAATACAGTCTTTAAAAAAAAATTATTAAAAAAAAAAATTCTTCATAGGTGAATTCTTACCTTGTCAACTTTGATTTTCTTGAGTTTCTTCCATTCGTCTCTGTCTGATTTGGTGCTTCTTCCTCTAGTTCCCTTCTCCTGCCATCTGGTAGAAGCGGACGCTTTGGGTACCGACCCGGCAGCTCCGGCGGCACAAGCAGTAGCAGTCGCCCCCAAACTCTCGACCTCGTGCTTTGGAGTAACCTTCTGCACCATGGCGCTGTGTTTGGCCGAGGTGCGCGTCGAAGAAGATTTAACGACGTCGGTCGATTCGGAGGTTGATCGCGTAGACAATGAGGGTGGTAGAAGCGGCAGCGGCACCTCAGGTTGCAGGTGCGGGGGAGAAGAAGGCGGTGGCGAAACCTCGGACTCAGCAACAGGTTGCGACAAAGTTGTGATTATTACAGATGGTTGAGCGTGGTTATCAGTCGCCAGGCCTACTTCTAAATGATCCCCCATCTCGAGTGCCCCTCCTATTTATGTCCATGGTGGGATACAGGTTGTACAGGGGTGAGAAGAGGATTATGAGTTGAGTAAACAAACCTAATAGCCATCTAAACATTCAAAGCCTCTGTAATGCATTGTGTAGGATTTTTTATTGCCCGGCTTAGCTTGGTGCCGGTGGTCGTATGCGGCACGCGACTATCACGCATGCGCATTTAGCTACAATCGCTTTTGATTGCGCTTTGATTGGTCGATAGTACGCGAGCACTAGACCGGAGTTGACCAATCACCTTGGACTAGTGCGGTGTTGAGAGATTTGGGACCAACTTTGCTGTAATTCATCAGGTGGTTGCACGCTGGGTCTCGCGCTCGTGCCAAAATCCAAGGACTGTATTTTGAAGCGAGCAAGATAAGCTATTAGATCAGATTCACGGCGAGATCGAATCAAAAGATCAGTTTTCTGCACTCTGTGTAAAGACTTATATATACAGAATGTGTTGGCCCTTATAAAATTATCATATTAATACAACAATGCTGATTCAAGCACCATTCGCTCTAGCGACACTTACTCTGGGTTTATTTTAGCTTCTGGATGTTCCTTTTCCATGTTTTCATCTGTTTAATTGTTTATTCTCCTGACAGTATACATTCGTTTTCACTTATAAAAAGGTATCCAAAAAGTCAAACGTAATGTTGATTACTTATATTGCAATAAAAAAAAAATGATGACCATCCGTTGTAGCAATCGAGAAGGATGTAGGGGAAGTAATAAAACATAACTAATAAAACATAACAAATCAGAAAAAAAAAACCAGGACAAAAAAAAAAAAAAAAAAAAAATCATATCAAATCGAACAAAAGGTCACAACAGGTTATCCTTATCTGGTTACCAAATAGTGCACATCCATTAATAACTCTCTGAGTTCATTAACAAAAAGACATTTATATCTGTAATAATCATGATAAATACTTTATTTTCGCCTTTTCAATTATAATTCACACACGTGTCAATGACAATAAGATCGTTTTATAAGCAGAACAAATTCCTGGTATTCTTTTGGCATAAATACATAATAACTATTCTCTCACTCTCTCTCTGCCTCTTCTTGTTACTCTTTTCCTGCTGCCACGTCTTTGTTTGTCCCTGTCCCCCTTCCCAGGCCAGCCGTGCAACGTAAACAATGCATATACAGCTCAGGAAAGATTTTGTTTATTATATTTTTGTCTCCTCCAGCATTATCCTCGCTATCTACTAGCAAGGTTCATTGCATCTCCATCGCCATATACCACATGGGACTAATGTAACTTACGCACGTCGCATGTAAATACAAAGAACAAACGTTTCTTTTTAATTTTTATATAGCTCCATGATTTTTATATCCAAATAATTATGAAGAGATGCCGCCCTTTAGTACTTAAAAAGTAACAGAGAGTTGATGATCATATTATACACTTTTGCCCAAAATAAAGTTCGTTGAATCATAAACCTATGGTTGAATGAACATTAGTAGGGCCTGGGGGTGAGAGAGAGAGGAAGAGAGAGAGAGAGAGAGAGAGAGAGAGAGAGACTGAGAGAGAGGGGTAAGAGAGAGAGAGAGAGAGAGAGAGAGAGAGAAAGGGGTGGGAGAAGGGGAGAGAGAGGGGAGAGACATAGAGAGAGAGAGAGAGAGAGAGAGAGAGAGAGAGAGAGAGAGAGATCAAAGATAAATTATTTTCCCTTTCATGAACCCTGGACCAATCGCTTATGCTGCTTTCTCATAATAGACAGGTTAACACATTCACATTTATGCATTCTGTTTAAACACAGATTGTACTCGGCAGTCTGCAAGGGTGCCCGAGGTTTGTCTGACATGGCAACAAATGATATATGTAGACTTGATTCCAAGTACTATAGTTCATTTATTAATAACAGTTTAATGGAATACCTTGTCACTAGGTCCCCGGGAAAGAAACATCCATAGATTTGAATATGTTGATAAACCAGTCTATTCGATCATCTGAAATAGACCTAAGTTTCCTCTTGCCGACTATCCACTTTTATTAGAGTTTAACACCCCGTGTAAATTTGTTTTCGGAGCCCTCAATCATAAAGAAAATATTAATTATTACATTTAAGAAAGAAAAAAATTTATTTACTATTATTATTTTTTTATTTTTTTGAGAGAGGGTTGAATCTATACCTAGAATGGTGTAATAATGTGATTTATAGGTATACCTCATCCCCCCCTCTCTCTCTCTCTCTCCCTACACTCTCTCATCTACATTATCATCCCCTCTCTCTACATCCAAATGTGACGCAAAATACAAAGTTTCCCCAAAAAACATAGTTGTGGGAATTTAATTTGTAGTGAAACCTGCTGCCCTAATCTCCCTTTTTACATTTAGAATGCACTCTATTTTGTGAACTGTGATTAAATTCACATGATTTACAATTGAAGAAAAAGAAAAATCACTTCTGGACAGCTGTCAAAATTCGGGAATACCATCTATAAGCGCAAAAGTCTAATGAACTTGCAACATGAATGACTGACTTTCTATTAAAATTTAATGGACCATAATAGAGGGCGTATGCACATTGTGTTACGTATAAAGGGACACTAGTGTTACGTAGTGTCCTTTAAGCCATTATAATGTGCGCTCTCAGCCACAACCCTGTATGCCTGTACATGATTAAAGCATGTGTAGCCAACATCTATATAAATCAACTCAGCCCGATCTGCTGAATCTCTGTCTTCGATCCCTTCTCTCCCCTTTCACTCTATTATTTCCCTTCTACCCCTCTCACCCCCTTTAATATCTCACTCCCCCTTTCTCTCCCTCCCACTTCCCCTCTCTCTTCTCCTTCCCTCACCTCACTTTATTTCTTTTGTCATCCTTCTGTCTCTCCTCCTCTTTCTCTCTTTTCGTCTCTTTTCCCATTCCATCCTCTCTTATCCTCTCTTATCCTCTCTTCAGGTCCCTTCAATCCTCTCCCCCATCTCACTTCTCACTACCCCTTTCTCTCCCTCCCACTTCCCCCTCTCTCTTCCCCTTCCCTCACCTCACTTTATTTCTTTTGTAATCCTTCTGTCTCTCCTCCTCTTTCTCTCTTTTCGTCTTTTTTTCCATTCCATCCTCTCTTTTCCTCTCTTCAGGTCCCTTCCATCCTCTCTCCCCTCTCATTTCTCACTCCCCCTTTCTCTCCCTCCCACTTCCCCTCTCTCTTCTCCTTCTCTCCCCTTACTTTCTTTCTTTATTCATCCTTCTGTCTCTCTCTTTCTCTCTTTTCCTCTCTTCAGGTCCCTTCAATCCTTTCCCCCATCTCATTTCTCACTCCCCCTTTCTCTCCCTCCCACTTCCCACTCTCTCTTCCCCTTCTCTCCCCTCTCTTTCTTTCTTTCCCATTTTTCTTTCCCATTCGTCGTGTACCAAAAAACATCATTAATTTCGTGCTTTCTCCCTATTTGGGCACTAACTAAAATCTATAATTTATAACATATTGATATCATGATATAGCTTCCTGATTCATACATTTTGAATGATTGATATTGTAGTCATTTTGTGTGTTGAAACAAGTGAGAAAGTTGTCTGCCACTCGCATAGCGACACAACAGATTTAGCCAATTTGAAGTTTCAATACGTGTAGTAATTACAACTTTCAAATATTAAAATATTCGTAAATTTCTTAGGTATATTTTTTGCCTAAATTCGTTCAAAATTTCACCATTCTGCTTTGAAGTATTTTTCTACTAAGTTCGGATTTTCCCTTCATGTCTAAATACTATGACATTAATTATTCTTATCCCTCTCAATAAAAAAAACACACAAGGAAAAAACGCACAACAAGTTTTCTATCATTAGAAAGATATTTCAACACACATACAAGGCTAAAACCGCAACAAAGGAATAACCTTCTTCTGAACATAGATAAAAACACAGCCGTGGAAAATTATATTTTACCATCACTTTCTAGTTCCCCACATATACAGTTCCGGATTAGTAGCTCACTCTCTGTAAGTGATAAGGTGTACATAAATATTGAACAGGGTATACCCTCATGTTTTTGCAAGTGCCCCTCATTTGTACCATCACCTTCTCTTTCCCTAGGAATACAGGAGATGGCCAAAAACAAACTCAATCCAACTACCATATTGTTTTCGAGTAGAATGTTTTCCCCGTCGCGTCCATATGAAATTTAAGAAGCACTTTTCGCCCGCAACATGCCCGCATTTTGTTGGGCGCCGAAATAGAATTTACTTTCATTGGCTCGCGTAACGACCACTATTCTATCCGTTGTGTGCTTTTTCTTCACATAATAAGTTTCTTTTGTTTTAATCATTAAAACAAATTCTGTTTCAATAAACACCGATTATTTGAAACTCATAAAAAATATTCGTGAGTTCATTTATTTTCTACGCATTGTTCTATGCAAGTTTTTTTCTTAAACATCATTTATCTCTCTCTCTCTCTCTTTCTCTCTTTTTTGGTAACACTAAAACATAAACCCATAAAATATCAAATAAATTAAAGATGCAAATTATTGTAAACTAGAAGCAGAATTCTCCGTCTATGAATTATTTAAATTGCTTTCTATTGTAAGACACAACCAGGAATATTTCTTATCGATTTGTTGCTATGATGAATATATTTTCTTTGTGATGATACCATTGTGAAAGTTTAACTGTATAAAATGTAATTTTCATTTGTACGAGATATATAAACAAACAATGACAATAATTCAGGCTTGTTTGCCGCGGATAGCCACATTAGTCTTAATTCTGTCGGCCCTGCAAATATCATTACCCCAGCTTGTGATTCCGAAAATTAAAATTACAAAGGTTCATAATTCCGAAAATGAAATGGGAATTATAATTCCGAAATAAAAAAGAGCTTATAATTCCAAAAATCAGAAAAGGTTCATGATTCCGTACATGACACAAAAAAGGGGACAAAATTCAAAAGCTTCGTAATTCCGAAAATAGAAACCTGTTTCATTTTCAAAATTATCTG